GGTAGGAATAGCCTCGTTTTATTCGAGAAGCTTGGTAGAAAAACAGCCATTGGAACCTCCGCTTCACTCGCTTTACGACGCTTTTTGTTTTCGGAGGAGCGACGTCGCGGCCGATCCTAGTCAAATACCCGAGGCCACGGACATCTGATTCAAGAGACACGAAGCTCTTCGGGTTTCTGGACCACGAATCATAAAAAGGCACCAACTCGTGATGAAGAGTAGTGTCACCTTCCTCGAGGCTCAGTAATGGCTTCAGATCGTTTCGTCCCGCAAATCCGTTACTATGGTTCGCTGCGGCCAGTCAACTCCAAAACAAAAAAAAACAGTGCCAGAGATGTTACTGTACCGTCCAGGTGATGTTCCTTCTGCACCAAAGTGTATAGCTCCTGCAACGATTTACTCGATAACGATTGCCTCCAAGGTAGCATATAGGCTACGAACTGGTATAATTAACCTTGAGGCCTTTGTTCACCTCCGGCCTAGGTGGAGCTTACTTCGTTGTCCTGCAGCAGGTCATCGATCGTGGCATGTTCAAGCCGTTCTCGCAAGACTCTACTCGGTATGCAGCCCATTGCAAGAGGGTAATCGTTCGTTGGTTTTCGGAGGCGATGCGTTACCGTTCCCGAAGCAGGATAGAGAAAGAGCATGCATCAAGGCGAATCGAGTGTCGAAGTGTAGAAGCTCTTACCCCGCCGTGCGGCACCCAGTGGGGCGGCGTGCCCCACCTTTTTGATTGTGACCTTTCGCCCCGCCAACTATTTGCGCCATGATCCGCAGCTAATGTCGCCTTTGGACAGCACTACGGTGTGGATACCAGCATAAAGGCGCAGCGGTCTAATGGATTGGCTGCACAGCATGACCAGTTCAATGCTAGAGTGTGTTGATTGTAATCTTGCCTTGCCATTCTCTACCCATTTCCCGCTGTTGTATTTACTCGTGTGAATGCACGTCGCCTCACGACCCCTGTTTGCGTTGTGCCGTCCAGTAAGTGCAACACCATTCTTCGAGGCTGAGGGAAAGTTGCCGCATGTCCTTTTATCGTTGCTCACACGCCCGGACACTGCATGGAGGTTTCAATGAGCTGTTGAGGCGAATACGGCGAAACACGTTGGTGTTATCTCGTGAGGCGAGGCGTCGTACTGATTGTGTCTCACAGAGAACCAGTTGCACAACATCTGC